TGTATTGCTTTACTCATCTAACACTTGATCCCATCCAATGATGATAACAGTAATGAATAATTGAATCAATACGTGTGACCTTTGTATTCGTACTGACTGAGCGTAGTGTCCACTTATGCCCATTTGATTGTCCATAACTTGCAGTTCAATAATAAAGTGATTTTTTTTGTTGCATTTTAGGCGAATTCTTGCCTATTTTGGGCCAAAATCTGAAACCGGAGTACATTTCTGTGTGCAATAACGCCACGTGGGCTATAGGAGAGGTTGCCGTCAAACTGAACGCCGATATGAAGCCCTACGTAGCGATGGTATTGTCCCAATTGATCACAATCATCAATCAGCCGGGAACTCCCAAAACACTACTTGAAAATACAGGTTTGACATCAGCACCACTTTCTGTGGCCTTTGCATTGAAAACACACTTTTTATTTTAGTTTTTAGATTGATTTTTGGTATTATATGTGTTGTCTTTTAATTAATTTATTGTTTTCTTTTTTTCACTTCATTTTCGTGGCTTTCGTTTGTGTTTATGAATAAAAAATATGTAATAAATTGCTCGACAAATAAAATGGTGAATCAATCAACACTTATAATGATTGATAGCCATAACAATCGGTCGTTTGGGTTTGGTTTGTCCCGAAGAAGTGGCCCCAATGTTACAGCAATTTATACGCCCATGGTCTGTATGCCATTACACCGTTTCTTTTATTTACTGTTATTTCATTTCTTCACGTCTTTCATACCATTTCTGTCTCTTTAAACGCATTGAAAATGTGTTACATTTGTCACGTATTATAACTTGTAATTAATTGGTGACCATTTGTATGAATAGGTGTTCGTCTTTACGTAATATTCGTGATAACGAGGAGAAGGACTCAGCGTTTAGAGGCATTTGCGGAATGATTGGTGTGAATCCGGGCGGAGTTGTCAATGAGTTCATCTTCTTTTGCGATGCGATCGCGTCGTGGAATAGTCCCAAACCAGACCTCAAACAAATGTTTCACGAGGTTTGCGTCCAACCATTGCCTAATGATTTCTAAATGAATTGTATTTAATGTGTATTTGAATGAATGTATAGATTCTTCACGGCTTCAAGAATCAAGTGGGAGAAGAGAATTGGCGCCGATTTTCGGAACAATTTCCTGTTGTTTTGAAAGAAAGACTTGCCGTTAATTATGGCGTTTAATAGCAATTATAACAGCAAACCATAGGCTCATCGCTTGCCTGAGCGCTGAGCGAACAACTAAACACTTGTTTTGTTATGAATTGGTTTCAAACTAATGGCAGCATTCAATGGAAACACTTATTTAATACATAGCGATATAATGAATATTAGTCTCTATTTGGATATATTTGTTAAATTAATTTTATGATCACATGTATTGACAATTAATTATACGCTTCTATACTGTAAATGACTACTAGTCTAGAATTGAATTAATGAATTGTCCCAACAATTAGGTGTAAAACAACATTTGATTGAATGCATGGAAGCATTTGCATGATTTTGCATGACTTTATAACAACTTAAACATTTAATTTAAGGCTTAAATAAACACGTTGTTCGACCATTTCATCACTCATTACTTCAAAGTATAACTAAATTCAAGTCATTTCTTGTGAAATATATTTATTTGTAACAGTAATGAGAGCTGGAATTGGCTGCAAACAAATGTTAGGCATAAGTCTGTGTTCGCGCCCCGTATTTATGGCATAACAATGTCTGTCAATGAATATTATTGTTAACAAATTCACACTGTTTTAAGTGCCTTTCACTCCAGCATTGATCTCTCCTAATAAGTACTTTCATTTGTTTTATTTAAATGTAAAAAACAATTATCGCTTCGAATGCATAATAACAGTGATTGTGAGACTTTTCCCCATTCTATAGTATAGGCGCTCAATAGGAATATAATTGTTTTTAATTTATTTTCTGTGACTGACTGACTGTGAAAACATTGTTTTTTATTAACGATATTTTTGCTCATTTTTGTAATTGTAATTAATTTGCGATTGTTTTTTGTTGTTTTGTCTGATATTCAGCAGTATTTCTAAACTCTTTTCACTCCTCCTCCCATTCGACTCGGACTCAGGATTTTGCGTCTCAAAAGCAAACATATAATTCATTTTTTAATTAACTCAAAGTTTGTTGTGATTTGAGTAACGTTTTTAGCGGTAAATATATTTTGACACTTTATTTTCACTAATAATAACGAAGCGTTACATTTGAAGGGAAAATTATAAAACATGAGTCCATCTTATTGTGCCATTAAATGTGATCTAATTCTGTGAGTCTTTTAGTTTGTAAACCGTTAAGTGGGGCCACAATTGTATATATGACTGATTGACTGTTTAAATAAATTATTATAAACACAAAACTAATTCAACATTCATTTATCATCGAAACCCTCTATAGAAACCCAGATTTCAAAATATAATTTACACTTATTTTGAAAGAATCATATAATCAAGTGTTCAAAAATATAAAGTGAAATAATTTATAAAACAATAAAAATGTTAATTAAACGGTCCTATAATTGAATTGTCGTTTTGTTTATTAGAACTTATTGTTCGCATTATTTCACAAATAACTTATACAGTATTTGTTATTCAAAATAGTTTTTACACATTTTATATGCGATTCGTCGGAACAAGTCGTCAAATGCTTTATGTTTAACGACAACTATATATAAAAACCAAAAAAAAATGTGAATTATTTTTTGGTATAAATCGATGACAAAAGAATATATAGAAGAATAGCAAAAATGAAACAAACGTTAAGTAAAAGAATTGAGAGAATTATTATTGAAATTGAATTTTTAAGAAATTAAAGGCAATCTATATTTAGTGACAAATTTTGTTTTTGTATTGTATTTTAAAAAAGCGATGTCTTCTTAAAACACGAAAACGATTTTAAGACAAAAATTTTTGTTTCATAAAAACTATTTAGTCATCGAATCCCTGGGAAAGAAGGAAATTCGCGGCCATATTCTCATTCTTATCACATGCGAAGTACGCTTTCTTAAAACACGAAAACGATTTTAAGACAAAAATTTTTGTTTCATAAAAACTATTTAGTCATCGAATCCCTGGGAAAGAAGGAAATTCGCGGCCATATTCTCATTCTTATCACATGCGAAGTACGCCTGAACCACGAGGTATTCCGGAAACCCTAATGCCTTCAACTGTTCCCATAAAAGCAATCGTTAGTAATCATCACAACTGACACACAATGCAAATACAATACCCGATCGATGGCCTCCTTGTCCTGTGGCGTCACTTGTGCCGACCCGATAAGACTCTCTAAGTTGGATTGAGGGGCACCGCCAGCGGCCGGTGCGGCGGCGGCGGCTGCAGCCGCTGCCTGACCACTGCCGGGAGTGCCGGACGCGGCCGACGGTTCGTTAAGCATACGAACGAACGCCTCCTGGTTTTGTGTAATGAGTTGAAGGAGTTGTGGATTGTTTTGGCCGATCTGTTGCATAACAGCGTTGAGCAGTTGAGGGTTCTGTTGGATCACTTGTCGCATCTGTTGGAACTGCGGCTGAGAACGTAAAAACTCCAACGGATTCTCGTCGCCCACCGCTGGCTCAGCGCCGCCGCCAATGCCTCCGCCCAACGCCTCCTGCGCTTCGGGCGCCTGAGAAGGTTCTGACAGTTCGGTTGGAAAACCCGTCAACAAATACTCGACAGCTCTGTCCGGGTTATTAAAGCTGGCTTTCAATGCCTTCTCCACGGCGTCCCTCTCGTACCCCATTTCCATCATCTGTTTCACCATTTTCTGGTAGTCCTCTCCCAACACAATGTTAGACTCGGCGGCAGACACTCCGGTCGATGATGTGGCCGAAGGGGCAGAAGTGGCCGCCGTTGTCGACGCCGTCGTCTCCTTCTGTGAAGTACTCCCGGCATCGGATGTCTTGTCTGTCTTTGCCTCCGAAGTGGCGGCGGCTGTCGATGCAGTAGTAGTAGTGGTGGAAGCGGTCGAAGGGATAGGAGTGGAGGAGTCGGTGGGAGGCGTGGAAGGAGTGGTCGATTGTTTGGGTTTTGCGATCATCACTACAACAAACTTCTTTTCGTCCATTTCATAGTCTTTCAGCTGATTCTCATCGCTTAGTATTTTGCCTAAAAAGAGAGACCATTAGAAAGAGTTGACAGGAATGGGAGGGCAGGGGTGGGCGTGTAGACAGTGTGGACATGTGTGCAAACCGGCATATATTAGTTTCTGCCATTCAATGCAATACTCGTCTCCTCTTTCCGTTTGGATCTTCTCTTTCAACTGTTTTACCTATAATTGAATCAAATGTTGTGATCATAATATAGTCAAAAGTGGTCACCCAATGGCCAACTGGTGGACCAAATGCGGTGATCGTGACCTACAGTGGCGTTTGGGTCGATCTCAATCTTGAAGGTCTGCTGTTGTAATGTCTTCAGCGTTATTAACATCTTTTGGCCGTCTATTGAGTCCACGAATCGCCAAATGAAATACCAATTGTTGTGCCGATTGTCTCAACAGACAAAACAGTGACTCATTAAGTGATCAATCAATGCTTGTTATCACTGAAACGGTTCCCAAAACAGTCATCAATGGCTCAAATGGTTTGAAATGCAATGCAATCTCTGCTGAGAATGAGTTGCAGTTATAGTCAATATATAGAAGACATTTCCCACTAATCCCTCCACACATGCAGTGACCGCACATTCACTGCCCCTTCGCTGCGAACACACGCCAAATGCTGTGACGCGTAGACAGCGCTCAACCGCCCCCTCAACACAGTGTTCAACGCCGCGGACCCACCACTCAGTCAACACCCCCTCCCCCTCACACTCGTCACGCGCTGTGCGACAGGAATGCAGACATAGTTTATGAATGAGTTGTGATTCAAAGTGTGTGTAAAAAGTGTTGAAAACATAAACAAAACATAATTTGAATGGAAATGAAATTGAATGCAAAGATCGAGTCATTCGTCGATTTGAGACCAAATCAAAGGGAAAGTCGTATAAAATGCATATTTTTTTCCGAATTTCACCCAACCTTTGGTCCGAAACTTATTCATCAGGTCTTCACTCACACAACACGTGACACAACATAACACTAATCCATAACATCTGATCCATAGATACCCGAAGACTATGTAAACAAAGAGAGCTTCGATTCACTGAACGTGTATTTAATACCGAAAACTGAATTACAGGGAAAACTCATTACAGTGTAAGACATATACTCTTTGTCGACATAATTGTCATCAACTGATCCGTTGTTGTGTTGGTTATAGCAATGCATTGGGTCTTAAGATAATCGGTTTCCCGACCGGAATAAATGACGTGAAATACCCCCGAAATCGACTCATATTTAACATATGTTTCGTGTGTTCGGCGTCTCTGAGGACAACACAATACGAGCCGATTGTCCGCAAAATAGCCCACTATTTGATTGATTTGGAGCTCGAGTTGAGGTTTCTGTCGGATCCGCAAAACAAGTCAAGACTTCCGCATATTATGGCCGAAATTCGGGATCAATTGAACGCCAATAGAGTCTGTAATATAGAAGTTTGTAAGCAATGAATGGATTGTCTGATTGTATGCATCGACCACTTGATAATGTGATGCCATTTGATTGACAGCTCCGTCGACCACAATNGAGGCCATCGATCGGGTATTGTATTTGCATTGCGTGTCAGTTGTGATGATTACTAACGATTGGTTTTATGGGAACAGTTGAAGGCATTAGGGTTTCCGGAATACCTCGTGGTTCAGGCGTACTTCGCATGTGATAAGAATGAGAATATGGCCGCGAATTTCCTTCTTTCCCAGGGATTCGATGACTAAATAGTTTTTATGAAACAAAAATTTTTGTCTTAAAATCGTTTTCGTGTTTTAAGAATACATCGCTTTTTTAAAATACAATACAAAAACAAAATTTGTCACTAAATAGAGATTGCCTTTAATTTCTTAAAAATTCAATTTCAATAATAATTCTCTCAATTCTTTTACTTAACGTTTGTTTCATTTTTGCTATTCTTCTATATATTCTTCTTTTGTCATCGATTTATACCAAAAATTAAATCACATTTTTTTGGTTTTACAGTTATATATAGTTGTCGTTAAATATAAAGCATTTGACGATTTGTTCCGACGAATCGCATATAAAATGTGTAAAAACTATTTTCAATAACAAATATAAGTTATTTGTGGAAATAATGCCAACAATAAGTTCTAATAAACAAAACGACAATTCAATTATAGGACCGTTTAATTAACATTTTTATTGTTTTATAAATTATTTCACTTTATATTTTTGAACACATGATTATATGATTCTTTCAAAATAAGTGTAAATTATATTTTGAAATCTGGGTTTCTATAGAGGGTTTCTATAGAGGGTTTCGATGATAAATGAATGTTTAATTATTTTTGTGTTTATAATAATTTATTTAAACAGTCAATCAGTCATATATACAATTGTGGCCCCACTTAACGGTTTACAAACTAAAAGACTCACAGAATTAGATCACATTTAATGGCACAATAAGATGGAC